AAGTCAATAATCTCTACTTATGAAAATAGATATTGTATTGTGTTTTGATCTCCTAGGTGAAAGGTGATTGTTTTTTTATTTCTAAAATGATAGAGCTCAGAACGCAGCTCTTAATGGTTTAGAGTGGCCATTGAAGTGGAGCAAATTGACTTTCGTAAGATCAAGGTGTGACTCAGTCTCTAGTTGAAAATAGAAGTTAGTAAATAGAGTCACTCAACTCTCTCAAGGTCGAGGTGTAAGAAGATCCTTGACTCCACTAGTATCAAAATTGTAACTCACATTCACTAGTAAAAAGTCGAGCATCCTAGACGGAAATTTTCGTCTAGGATAGCTAGATTTCCGTCTAGGATGTTGGTCTAGTTTGTTGCTGTTGATAATGCATTATCCTAGACGGAAATTTCCGTCTAGAATGTTTTATCCTAGACGGAATATTCCAGACGAAAATTTTCCGTTTAGTTTAATAGCATTCTAGACAGAAAAAATTCCGTCTAGAATACGTAATTTTCTATTAGTGATTTCAAGTTGGAGCAAATGAGTGGAATCTCGAATAAGCCAGAGGCTTTTGGGAAGTCGATATATGCAAGTTACCGAACCATTATAAATCTCTACTTATGTGGTTGTGCTTTTCTATGGTGATATCTTAACTTGCATCTTCATTTTCTGCATTTATTATTATTTTTATTGCAAGTAATTCTGAGATTGAGAATTGAGAAATTATTTAACTTGGTTAAAACATATTACATGTGGTAGGATTTACTACTAGTTAAACAAAAAAAAGCTTAAATTTCTCAAAAGTTGTCACGTCACCTTAAACCTCTAGGGTTTGTCTTTATTTTCCTAATTTTTTTGTTAGTTTGCTTGTGAACCCAAAATTTAACATCATTTATTTTTATTCCCACCAATGTGAAGAAAGATTGCCAATAAACTCAATTCTTTACCCCCATTTCCTTTTGAAACCACCAACTTCTAAAATCGTCTTTTAGAGCCTAAATATTTAACTCTTACCCAAATTGTTTTTATACGTATCCATTCCATAAAAAAAATCTTTTACCAATAAATTCAAAGTTTTATCCCCTCCTATTTTAAACTCACCCACTTCCAAATTATTTCTAGATTGAAAATTTTCCACAAATTTATTTATATGCTCCCTTTATGTTTCTCTTTATACTTAGTAGTTTGGTATATGATGTAAATTTCTTGTAATATACTTCTAACCAGTTAGATGTCCGATATAACCAATTGTTTGAACCATTATTTTTTGGTTTTTGACCACATTATGTGTTTTTGTCTTGACAGATCCAAAATTTACCATATATGTTTTCAAATTCATCCACTTCCTAAAGGGGGTTTAAATCCAACGACTTTTGGTTTTTAACCTATAAGCCAAAATATTTACCCCCATTTGTTTATAACTCACATACTTTTAAAATCACTCTTGGACCAAAAATACTCAAGATAATTAATTCTAAACTCAGCTTGCATATAATCAGCTTGACCTAAGGACTAAGTTAGGATATTTGGTTTAACTTACTATATTTTTTTCAAATGGTGTATACATTGTAGTTTTAGACCAAATGAGTAAACCACTTTTTTTCTTCTTCCTCTTTCATAACTAATTTTGCAACATCATAGACTCTATATGAGCTTGTTCGCCCACAGCCTAAAGTTATACCCGAATTTTTTAATAAAAAAATCAACTGACACTTTCAGAAAAGGGTTTTTTGCCCCTATAACTCAAAGCTTTACCACAATTTATTCTTAAACTCACCCACTTCCAAAATTACTCTTAGACACAAAGTACTTAATCAATTATTTTTAAACTCATTATGTAATTAATCAATTTTTTATATAGTGTAAGTTATTATCTTTTGCTAGAACTTTGCTATATGTTTGTGCTAAACGATTAGGTATACAATATTATTTTAAAACCAAATACTTGCACCATATTTATTTAGTTTTTCACACTTAATATCGCAGCAACACGTCACTGGATTTCGCTTGTAAGAAGTCTTTGAACCAAAAACTACTGTTAGATCTAAATGGGGTTAGTCAAGAAATCAAAATAAAATAAGGGGGACCAACCAAATATTTCCGTTGTATGAAAGGGGAAGGACCCAATGACCATGGGCCACAGGCAAAATATCTTTCAAGGGAGATGATAAAGATGGAGACCTTTTGATTGGAAGAACACCACAGTGAAACCGACTATAGTGGATCTTGCCTTCCTAACCTCTTACTCATATACATATAAACATATCACACTAACAGAGCATAATATCTTTTATGTACCGCACATATAAATATATGCCTCTCTTTCTTCCAGTCGTTTAGGACTCAATAATGGACAGCAACAACAGTAGTCCGAACGTTGAAGTACAGGTGGCGCCTTTTGTGGCCAAGACGTACCAGATGGTGTCCGACCCGCGGACGGACGGTTTGGTCCGGTGGGGGAGAGAGAACAATAGTTTCGTAGTGTTGGATCCTGCTGACTTCTCTCTGTTTCTTCTTCCTGCTTATTTCAAGCATAGCAACTTCTCCAGTTTTGTTCGGCAGCTAAACACTTACGTAATAAGTAGCCTCACTTCGCTTCTTTTTCATTTTGAATTTTTTTTTTCTTTTTGTTTTTGTTTTTTGTTTTTTTGGGTTGATTGATCCTTAATCTTTTGGTATTGATTTCGTTATGTAGCAGAATGATATTTAATTCTTTTTCATCCTGTGTTTCAATTCTGCTGATTTGGAAGTTTTATGATCAGAAAAATTTGTGCAATTTTCAATACTTTGAGATAGTAGTCAAATTAATAATTCATTTTAGTTATTTTTAATATAGCGACACGCAAAATTATGATTAATTTCTAGTTATATTCTTACAAGGATGTTTAATTTGTTGTTTCGACTTAGTTTAACCTTTTAACTTTTAATTAATAGAAAACTTGACTTAGTTTAATCTTTTGAGCTTGTTTAGGGATTCAGAAAGGTTGACCCAGATCATTGGGAATTTGCGCACGAATCTTTTCTCCGAGGCCAAACACATCTATTACCCCTAATCGTCCGTCGAAAGAAGAAAAAAGACGAGATATGCGACAAGAAACCAGGAGTCGAAGACGATGAAGAGGATCATGAGGAGACTTTACTTAAAGAAGTGGGACAGCTAAGACGAGAGCAAAGGGCGCTTGAGGATGAGCTAGAAGGAATGAACAAGCGACTCCAAGTGACTGAGCAAAGGCCTCACCAAATGATATCATTCCTTGTGAAAGTCGCCCAGGATCCTGACTTGCTCCCTAGGCTCATCCTCTCCAAAAAGGAGCAAAATCAAGAGACTAAGAAACGGCGACTACTATCTGATTCAATTCACTCTCTTCCACCGCTTCCACCATCATTTGATGATAGTAGCGCAAATGAGATGGATTCTATGAGTATTGAGGATCAAATTGGTTCCGAAAAGGATCAAGTTGTGTTATTACCGGAGTTTGGAGGTCCGGAGACAGATACGGTAGCTTATCCGTTTTCATTACTGGGCCATGTATTTTTCTAGTTTAACTTCATGAGTTAAGTTTTATTCCTTGGATGTTTTATTAAGAGATTGTTATTAACATCAGTTTTTTTTTTGTCAAACTGTAGACCTTATTTGTTTGCTTAGTAAAAATCACATAGATTTTTCCTTATGCTAAGGAAGATTTCTCCTGTCCTTTCAACCAATAAGGAGTCAACAAGCTCGCGATTTTCTACGAACATATATTATTCAGAGAATTTATGGGGTAGTGTTAGATATATGGGGATCATAACATAACATTGATTGGGGTCGCAATGTACCGTGATGAGTGGTACTTGAGTTAAAGTTTGTTGGATGTATTGCTTTGGCAAGATGCATGAACTTGTGCCCATAAAAAGGAGGGACCATGTGAGCGATCAAACATGAAGTACTATAGATGCCCACAACTTTGGTGCATTGTGCTGGCTCCATTTTTTCTATGGTTAAATGCTATTAAGAGAGAGAGAGAGAGAGAGAGAGAGAGAGAGAGAGAGAGAGAGAGAGAGTTTTGGGGGAAATTTCCCTTAGTTAAAGTATTGAATGTGACACCTACATATATACAAGTAGAGGTGGGTGGTGTCCTCTCATAACCAATGTGAGACTAAACCAAATATCAACAGCCCCCCACCCCACCCCACCCCACCCCAACTCATGTTGGGTCAAACAAAGTGAGTTTGCATACAAGAAACTGGAATCGATGAACAAGTAAGGCCTTCGTTAACAAATCTGCAAGCTCATCGACGGATGAGACATGAGGAAGTTGAATTGTCTTGTCCTTGATAACTTGTTGACGAACAAAATGAGTGTCGATCTCAATGTGTTAGGTCCTCTTATGAAATACTGAATTATTAGCAATTTGGATGATACTCTTATTATCACAGTAGAGAGGAGTAGGAGTTGGAACAGAAATACTAAAATCACTGAGAAGATGAATAATCTCTTTAGCTGTTGTGGACATTACACGATACTCTGCCTCGGTACTGGAAAGGGCAACAACATCTTGTTTCTTACTCCGTCAGGAAATAAGGGAATCACCAAGAAATATACAATAACTTGTGGTAGACTTCCTGGTAGTTGGATCACCAGCCCAATCAGCATCACAATATACACGAAGCTCTAAATCGGATGTAGCAGGATACATAAGAGAGCGAGTGCTAGTGCCCCAGAGATACCAAAAAATCTGTAATAAGGCAACATAGTTTACAAAACGTGGGGCATCAACAAATTGACTGACAATACCAACAGCATGAGAGATATCTGGTCGAGAGATGTATAAATAGACCAACTGACCAACAAGATGTTGGTATCGGGTAGGATCAGATAGAGGCTCATCATCAGTAGAGCAAAGTTTGACATTCTGTTAAAGTGGAGTATCGATAGTTACATCGTTAGTTAGCTCAGCACGAGCTAGAATATCTGAGAGATACTTCTGTTGAGACAGTAGTACTCCCTGCAGGCCATGAGAGATTTCTAGACCAAGAAAATAGCGAAGAGATCCAAGATCCATCATGTGGAACTGTTGTTGTAATTTAGATTTTTCTTACTGTATACCAGCAACATCATCACCTGTAATGATCATATCATCTACATAAATGAGTAATAAAACTTTGTCGTGCGATGTAGTGAGAACAAACAGAGAAGCATTTTGATGACTTTCCATAAAGCCCGCATTGAGCACGACATCACGAAAACAATCAAACCAAGCGCGGAGTGCCTGCTTGAGACCATGAACAACACAGCGAAGGAGACATGCATGTCCTGGAGGAATATTGTGAAAGTACCCTAAAGGGAGGGTGAATAGGATAATTGCTAATCTAATCCGATTTCGATGCCAAATTAAAACTTATTAATAAATATCCTAGTAATATGATGTACACTAAGATATATGCAAGGATAAACAAATAACCAATAGGCGATATAAACATGCACAAGATATAAAATCAATTAGTGCGCCAAAACAATCACAAACACAATGATATGATCACGGAGTTCGGTCTAACACTTGACTTACGTCTCCGCTCCTCACCTCGAGGAAATCTCCACTATCACTAAATAACTACACAATCGGTTTTCAAAGCTCAGCGAAAACTTTTTACAATGCACGTTATCAATCTCACAAGACATTCGTCTAAGTGTCCTTGTGTATTACAACGTGTTTTCACAATGAGTGCAAATAATGATTTGTTCTCTAACAAAGACAATGACGAAATTTAAGCTCACTCAAAGATACACTCTCACAACCTAAGTATACTATATGTGAAATACTTAAGCTCAAGTGGTTGTGTGTGTAAACAATGAGTAAATGAAATTAAACTCAATTTAATCTAGCTTATATATATGATAATCAAGATATAAAAATAGCTAGAGAATGAGTTTAGAAGTGTTGGCCTCTTTGTTTTGATGATGTTTAACAAACAATTTACTACTAATGTTGTTTGTCTAGTGTTTGTGCATTCCTATGTATTGTAGACAAACAACGTTGTTGGAGGATGGATGGATTGCGCTTCAACGATGATATCCAAAGGAGGTTGGCGGAATGTCAGTGAAGCCTTGCAATTCAAAGTTAAAGATCAAGTTCAAGCTTCATCCGCAAGTGTACCAAGTCAAGCTTAATTGAAGATCAAGATTGCTTAGGTAATGTAGTTTAGGATTTATATTATGTGTGTTAAGTACTCTAAGCTCAATTATCTATACACACACATTTTATTAGTTTCCTTGTATATATATGTAATCACATATATATACAACACAAGTTTTGGTTTTCATGTTTATAAATATGAAATTACATGTTTCATATTTATTATTGTGATTTGGTTTATCTACATAGATATGAAACAAATATATTTTCATATACATACTCATACGTTTTACTTTCTATTGTATTTGTGAAAATATTGTTTTCTTGGTTTTTGGACTTAACAATAATCATATACATATTTTATTAAGTTTACATAATCATTGTGTAAAGTTTCAAAAGTTGGTTTAGGTCAAAACATCAAACTCATATGTTTACATTCGTTTTTGAACTATTTTGCAAATGATGATTTTTTCACAAATGGGAAATGTAATTGGAAAATTCTTTTGTAACATATTCATTTACATGTTTATATACAATTTTTCCAAAGTTTCATAATTTTCAGAAGTCAAATGAATATTTTTACAAATTGTTTAAATGTGTCAAAAAACCTGTTTTTATATATGTCAGTTTTCGGTCGACCGAACCGGGTCGACCGAACCGGTCGACCGAACCGGTCGACCGAACCGGTCGACCGGAGCTCTCGTGTTCACTGGGCGACAGAGAGTCGTCGGTCGACCGGTCCGGTCGCACCGATGAAATTTTTCCGGTCGACCAGCGATGCAAATTTTTCCGGTCGACCGATGAATTTCGCGGCACCGACGAGAGCTCCATCGGTCGACCGACGAAATTTCCGGTCGACCGACAATAGATCCGTTGGCTTCTAACGGCTATTTCTTGAGCTGTTTGCTGGGGGCTGTTTTTGTCTTTTTGTTTGGGTTTTTGGCTGAGTTTTGAGAGGGTATAAATACCTCATTGCCTTCAGCTCTCCAATCAACCAATGAGAGTTTTAAAACAAGTTTAAGAAAGTTTTAACAAGGGTTTATGTTTGGTTTAAGTTTTTTTAAAAATCTTTTAAGCATTTGAGAGTTTGTCTTTGAGAAATCAATTTCACAAGAGCTTGAGGAGATCATCTATTGGTGTTTGGGCATCCAACTATTCTCCCTCTACCTCTTGATATATTGAGAAGTTTTCTAAACTCTATTTCTAGCTCTTTTATATATTTGATTATCATTGTTATTAAGCTAGAACTACATTGAGTTTAGTTTTGATTTATATCTCTTTGTTCGCACACAACCTTTTGAGCTTATTGTATTTACATTCATAGTATAATTTGGGGTTGTGGGTTTGTGACTAAGAGTTGTGCTTAATTGAGTTCTCACCTTGTTTTGAGAACAATCATTTGTTATATTTGTGCTTATTGTGAGAATCACTTTATAATACACTTGTACACCGGGTGAGGAGTGTGTGGTGAGAGTCGGGGATCGTCCTAAGAGGAGTGGCGTTGGTTGACGTGCCTAGAGAGAGATTGTAACCGAGCACTTGAGGGAGACACGGCTAGGTCCAACACTTAGTGGGTGTAGAGTGTGATTGCATAGTGTTTGTTGTGTGAGAGTTTTCGGTGAACTTGTAAACCGAGTGTGTAGAAGAAGTTTCGGCTTCCAAACCGGATTGTGTTAGTGGATTTCTCCCCGGGAGTGGGGAGCGCAGACGTAGGACGGAAGGTCCGAACTCCGTGATCATATTGCTTGTTTGAGTGTGCTTTGGCGTTCATTCATATTTATGTTCATATCTTATATCGCCATTGTGCATTGCTCATTTCTATATCATCCACTATCTTGTTTAGATTGTTTATCCTTGTATAGTTTATATATCCTTGCATCATATATTTTTATCATATAGGATATATATCTTGTTGTTTATATTGCTTATCCTAGCTAATATATATTGTTGTATTTCATACTTGCTAGGATAACTTGTTAATTATTTTTAATTGGCATATAATCGGATTAGATTAGCATAAGACCCTAATCACCCCCCCTCTAGGGTCTAACAAGAAGAACTTCTCTAAACAAAGAGATGTAGATGAATAAATTTGAGGTTGAACTCCTCAAATCCGAAATTGAAAGCCTTCTCTTTGTGAAACTTTCTTCACATAAACAAACACACATAAACTTAGAAATAATCTGGTGTAAACCCTCTTTAAACTCTTGTAAAAACTCTTAAGAAAAACTAAGTCTTAAGGCCTATATATAGCCTATCAAAATAAACCAGTCAAAACTAGCCGTTATAGCCAAAATATAGCCGTTTGGTCGACTAATATATAGGACCAGTCAACTGATGAGACTGAAAAAACATAGACTGAAAATCTACACTAGTAAGTCGAATGATTTGGTTTGTTAGTCAACTGATGAAAGGGTATCGGTCGACTGATGGACTCTCATCGATCGACCGATAAACATACACAACATATCTTGACTTAATTAAGAGTTGATTTTGT